ATATTATCCCTAGCCGTACTATCTGTAGTATCTACAGTTGCACCTCATGCTACTGTACTTTCCAATCTTTCAGTTTATACTATAAAGTGTAGACATTCATGTATTTTATTTGGTTTTAATTTCTTTTATACATTAAACCAATATACTTAGTTTGTAAAGTGAATTTTCCAACATGAATATATTTCACACCAATCAAGTTGGGGATAATATATATGTTATCATCAACAAACAATAATGCATTTCTGTGTCGCATAAATGTCTTGCCTTTCTATTTTTGTCTTTAGTGTCTTCCCTCACATTCTCCCCCTTTTCCCACCCACTTCCCACACTAACTTAGCATTCAATTTTCTTTTTATGAGCCAGGAGGTGCCATAGTGGTAAAGAAGCTGAGTTCTCACATGGCCTACCATGATTTTGTGTCCTGTACCTGGTGACATGAAAATTATGCCTGGCATGCGTATGTGCGTGTATGCCTAAAATCCTGAGAGGATAATGGGAGAAAAGGGTTTAAGGCATGACCAACCTTCTGAGGATTAATTTCTCACTTATTGTTTTTCTATTTATATCTCTTTCTGGTGAAAGCAAATGACATATGGCACACACCTAAAGAAAAATTAATTAAATTTTAGCCTCAGTAGAAATACAAATTATTTTTTAAAATCTGCCTTTTTAATCCTGACTTTATACTATGTGACTTTGCTCATATACATTCTTACTATAGAAAAACATCTGTTTTTTAATATGCTGATTTGTTTTCTTTCTTTTCTGTTTTTAAAGGTTCTTGCTATAGGGCATGTATGCTTGCCAGAAAGACAGAGAGAGACAGAGAGATAGAAAGCAAGAAATAGCTTCCCAGGGGGAATGGCCACACTGCAGTTCTTTCTCCTCCATTCTCCTCTTGGGATCTTGGGCATGCACACACACGTAACCAGTGTGAGTTTAAGCCATGGGTCCAGGACTCGAACCGTGGTTGGCTACGTGAAAGTTCAGCAACATAGCCATTACACTAACTGCTGGTCTCCTGATTGATTTGTGTTCTATGTTTGTTCAAGCAGCAGTCCAATAAAAATCAGTGTAGTAATGAATATAAAAACATAGTTGAAGGGAACCAGCAGTTAGCGTAATGGCTATGTCGCTGGACTCCCACGTAGTTGACTGCGGTTTGCATCCCTGACCTGGTGGCTTAAAACTCACACCAGGCACGTGTGCGTGCATGCCCAAGATCTGGAGAGGAGAATAGAGGAGAAGGGATTGCGGTGTGACCATCCCCTCTGGGGGGTGATTTCTCACTTTCTATGTCTCTATCTCTCTCTGTCTGTCTGGCGAGTGCACGTGCCCTATAGCGAAAACAACCTCTCAAAAAAAAAAAATAGTTGAACATCATTTAATTAGAGAAATGCATTTTTTTATTTAACTTAATTTCATTTTTATTTTAGATAGATTTTTGCAGTAGGGCATGTGTGCTTGCCAGAGAAACAGAGATAGAAAGCTAGAAATGGGGAGATGGCCATGCTACAATCCCTTTTCCTCCATTCTCCTCTCAAAATTTTGAGTTCACATGCACATTCACCCAGTAAGATTCAAGCTGCCAGATCTGGGACTCAAACTGCACTTAGCCATGTGGGAGTCCAACAACATAAACAGTGCACCATCTTCTGGTCTCCAAGAAATGCATTTTTAGAAAAGTTTGTCATCGTGTAAACATAATAGATTACACTTACACAAACCTAGATGATACTGAATATTGCACATGAAATTTATATGGTCTATCCTATTATCTTATGGGACCACTATCATGTATGCTTTTCATCATTGACTAAATAGTCTTCTATGTTTGTAGAGCACACAACTTTCATATATATGTCTATGTGTATGTGAAAGTGTGTGTGAGCTTTTGTGTGTCTAAAAAATTCCTCTATATATTGGGAACCAGCAGTTAGCATAATGGCTATGTTGCTGGACTCCCATGTAGTCAACCATGGTTCACGTCCCGGACCTGGTGTCTTAAAACTCACCCCAGGTGCGTGTGCATGCATGCCCAAGATCCCAAGAGGAGAATGGAGGAGAAGGGATTGCGGAGTGACCATCCCCTCTGGGGGGGTGATTTCTCGCTTTCTGTCTCTATATGTCTCTCTGTCTGTCTGGTGAGCACACATGCCCTACAGTGAAAAACCTCTCCAAAAAAAAAAAAGTCCTCTATATATCCAGAAACCTTTACCATTCATCAACAAAGTATTTCTTATATATTGATATTCTATAAACAAAAGTGTACAGATTAAAATACCATTCATGCTTTTGTAGATACCATTCACATTTCCTCTTGTCATGTTGTATATCATTTTTTAAGAATTATTTATTTGATTTGTTATTTATTATTAGCCTTCTTCAATTTGATGAGAGAGAGATAGAGAGAGAGATTAAGAGAGAGATAGAGAAAGAGGCAGAATGTGAAAGCAGTGGATCCAGGGCTCAAACCATAGTTCGTCATATGAGAATCCAGTGCCTTATCTACCTCACCACCTGCCAGCCTCTTGAATATTCTTTGTTGTACTAAACATCTCAAAGCATTGACTATCATCTCAGCCAATTAGATGAGGCAGAAGATTTATACAACAGTGGCCAGCAGATCATGTAGTAGTTACAATGCTGGACTCCCACATGACTGACTGCAGTTTGAGTCTTGGACCTGCTATCTATAACCTCATACTGAGTGCATGTGCATTCATGCCCCACATCCTGGGAGGAGATGGAGGAGAATAGATTGTGATGTGGCCATTCCCTCTGTGGGCTAATTTTTCACTTTCTCTCTCAATGTCTCTGTTTCTTTCTTTCTCTCTCTTTCTCTTCCTCATGACTGCACACACCCTAAGACAAAAATCTTTTTAAGAAAGATTTATATAACAATCATGCTTCACACATGTATTGTGTTAATATATAAAAAGCAGTGCTCTACTAACGTCAGAGTCTGGAAGTGAATTAACCACATTCTTATCATTATGCTGGCACATGAGATTGAAGTTAACTTTTTATTGTGTACCTACATATCTCATTAGATATTTTAAAATCTAGAACCAACCAAAATTTTTCTACACAACCAGATATGAGGACCTAGTATAAATATTCTTGGGAACATAGTTTTTCAGAATATTTACCTTGTAAAACCTGCATTGAGATTGTTCTGAAGAATGTGATTACATAAGAGAAAAGAATGACACAAGGGATTATTTTAGATATGTATAGGGTACAGTAATTAGGTATGTTGGAGATATTTGGCAAATAATACATAAAGAGAGCTGGCAGGTGATGTGATGGTTAAAGCACTGGACTCCCACATGGTTGATCACAGTTCTTGTCTTGGACCTGTGGCTTGCTTTCTCACTTTTCCTTTCTCTTTCTCTGTATTTCTGTTCAAATTTTAAAATAATAATAATGATAAATACAGTTAAATAAATAACTTTTACAAAAATTTTAAAATAGTAATAATACATTAAAAAAACAAAGGAAAACATACTAGTTCTTCTTTACAAGTCTTCGTAAGGGTAGCCAACAGGTTAAGTTCTGGATTTCCACATGGCTGACTGCAGTTTTGAGTCCTGGAATGAGAGACATAAAACTCATGTCTGCATATGTGCATGGTTGCCTCAGACCCTGAGAAGACAATAAAGAATAAATTGCAGTGTGGACCTCACACCAGGAGCGTTTTCTCACTTTCTCTGTCTCATTGGTTACTGCATGTACCCTATAGCAAAAGCCTCTCTAAAACAAAACAAGTAATGGACCAGCAGTTAGTGTAATGGCTATGTTGCTGGACTCCCATGTAGTCAATCTCGGTTCAAGTCCTGGATTTGGCAGCTTAAACTCACGCCGGGTGTGTGTGCATGCATGCCCAAGATCCCAAGCAGAGAATGAAAGAGAAGAGATTGAGGCATGGCTATCCCCCCTGGGGGAGTGATTTCTTGCTTTCTGTCTCTCTGTCTCTCTCTGTCTTTCTGGCAAGCACACGCACTGTATAACAAAAAAACTCTCAAAAAAAACAAAACATGGGGGCCAAAAGGGGATGTGGTGAAGGCACTGTCCCATGTGGCTGACTGTGGTTTAATTTCCAATCCTCAACCTTGAGTTATGCCAGGTGCATGTGCATGTGTGCCCAAAATCCCCAGAGCAGAAAGTAAAATAAGAGACTGTGGCAAGGCCATCTCCTCTGGAAGGTGATTTCTCACTTTATATCTCTGCTGAATACACTTGCACTATAGCAAAACTCTCTCTGTCTCTCTCTCTCACACACACACACATAGAGTGAGAGAGAGAGAGTTAAGAACAGTGAGAATTAAGAACAGTGGTGCTCTATGATTCTATGACTCACTACTCTCTTTCTCTGGCAAGAACACATGCCCTAGGGCAAAAACCTATACAGAAAAAAATTAAACCTGTTTTCAACATTTACATAAAACTATGATAATATTGATAGAAAAATTAAAGTGTACAAGAAGAAAAGTAGGTACACAAAGTGACATGCTATATACAAGAAAAAATCTATAGAAATTAGGATAGAGATAGAACTTAGAATATTCCAGGAGAATAAGATATTTCTTGTTTTCTGAATATTAAAAAGAAAGCTATTCATGTCTATTGTGATGAACAAATATGATAAGCCATGGAAATATAAAGTTTATTATAAGGAAAACAGAAGAAATTGTAGAGAAGATATCTGTAATAAATTTTCATCATTGATAGTATCATTCAGAGCCACAAGATAGACCAAGCAAGATCCTCAGATGCTGAGGTCCTGTTTTAAATCACTTTGGTGCCACCTAAAGTTGAAAGAATTCTCCTAGTGTCACCAACATAGGCTCTTAATTTGGTTTATCTTGGTATTACCTTGGCGATTTATCTGTGGAAAATTAAACAAAAATCACCATTTCCTTTAACATGACAATCAATTTCTAAAATTAAATTGCTGAATCTCTGTTGTGTCACCAGATGCAAAGCAGTGAGTCCAGTGCCCAGCTCAAGAGTATCCAAACAGTGAAAGAACTCACTGCCTCCCCAATTCTGTGACTTTCCTGGCTTTTGAGGATGCTTGGGGGGCAGTTATGGCCTGCATGGTTCTGTGCTTGCTTGTCCTCACAGCTGTAGTTTTGGGAGTCTTGTGAAGCACAGAGACACTCCCACTGTCAAAGCCAACAACCAGGCTCTGAGCTTTATTCTGCTCATCTCCCTCCTGCCATGCTTCCTCTGCTCCTTGCTCTTCATTGGCCATCCTAACACAGTCACCTGTGTCCTCCAGCAAGTCATATTTGGCCTTGTGTTTACTGTGGCTGTTTACACAGTGTTGGCCAAAACCATTACTGTGATTCTGGCATTCAAAGCCATGAGGCCTGGAAGAACCATGAGGTACTTGCTGCTATCAGGGGCTTCTGACTCTGTCATTCCCATTTGCTTCCATTTCCAAATGATTATCTGTGGAATATGGCTAGTAACTTCTCCCTTTCATTGACATAGATTCACATTCTGAGCCCAGAAACCTCATCATAATGTCTAACAAGGGCTCAGTCATTGCCTTCTACTGCGTCCTGGGCTACCTGGGCTCCTTGGCTCTGGGAAGCTTCATTGTGGCTTTCCTGGCCAGGAACCTGCCTGACACATTCAATGAAGCCAAGTTCCTCACATTCAGCATGCTGGTGTTCTGCAGTGTTTGGGTCACATTTGTCCCCGTCTATCACAGCACCAAGGGGAAGTTCATGGTGGCTGTGGAGGTCTTCTCCATTTTGTCTTCCAGTGCAGGGCTCCTAGGCTGCATCTTTTTGCCCAAGTGCTACATTATTTTTATAAGGCCTGATAAGAATGTCTGGAAAGCACGATGGAAAAAAAATATAAAAAATATGACAAAAAAATAAGCTAGCAGTAGTGCAATAGCATAGCACAGACACCACAAATAGATTTTTGAAAGGCCTCTTTGTTCTGACTTCCTACTACCACCTCCAACATTCTCTCAGAATATCCTAATTTTAGGGATGGCTTTAAAATATAGTTGTCACAAAGGAAGTTACTAATATGGAAACTTAGAATAAACCTTGTGAAACTGAAAAAAAAAAGAATTTCTGGAAAACTTTAAAAAACAGAAGAAGTTCCAAATAAAATGTAAGGTTTATATCATATGATTGTATCACAATTTTAGGGTTTTGAAGAAGAAAGGTACAGATTTTATATTCTTATATTATAAAGTAAGTGAAAATGACTGACTTATTAAATCACTTCTAAATCAATCATTGTATGTATCTAATCTTTGACAGTTTTTATACTTTCTACTATAATTGATATCTTAGATTGATTGGTATTTCTTACATTATGGGTATGGATTAATAGTAATATTTTATCAATTATTTAGTATGGTGTTCTCCTAAAAGCTTTTTACTTTTTTTAAGAAATAATTATTTTTATTCATTCATTTATTTATTTTAATTTGACCAGAGAAAGACACAGAGAGAGAAAGACAGGGAAAGTGAGAAAGTAAGCCACCAGGTCCAGGACTCAAACCGTGGTCAGCCATGTGGGAGTGCCTAGCACCTTAACCACCACACCATCTGCTAGTCCCCTAAGGCTTTTTACTTTTATATGGTCAGGAATAATGTCTTTACTTACTTATCTGTTTTATTGATTTGTATCTTCTCTCTCTGTTCCAGGAAGGTCTTGCTTTATTTAACTTTATTTATTATTTTGATGACCATAATTTATTTTAATTTGACCAGAGAGTCAGGGAGAGTGAGAAACCAAGCCCTCAGGTCTGGGACTCAAACTTCTATTCATCATGTGGGAGTCCAGTGTTCTCAACTACTACACCACCTTCTGGCCACTGAAATTCAAAAATTATGCCAAGAACATAAATTGGGGAAAGAACAGTACTTCAATAAATGGTGCTGGATGTAGTGGCTATCCATTTCAGAAAGAACAAACTACAAACTTAAATGTAAGACACAAAACAGGACTACAGAAGGAAAAATAGGGAAAATGGCTCAGGTAGTGATCTGGACGCAAAATTTTTTATAAAAGACCTGAAAATCAGAGGCAACAAAAGCATAGCAAAACAAAACAAAACAAAAACCACAATATTTTAGCTAACTAAAGTGACTCTGCCTGGGGAGTAATCAACAGGGTGAACAGACATGCTTCAAGAGAGGGTCAGTATATTTTTAATCTATTCATTCTGGTGAATTATCAATTAATATTCAGAGTATACAAGAAAGTCAATAAACCCCAAAGCAAAAAATTAAAAAAAAAAAACCTGGTTACAGAATTAAATCAAGACATGAATATACATTTCTAAAGAAGACATACAATAGTCAAGTGTATGAAAAAAGTGCTCAATATTACTAATTACCAACAAAATATAAATCCAAACTACAATGAGGTTTATATTCTTATAAAGTAAGTGAAAATGACTGACTTATTAAATCACTTTTAAATGATTTAATAAGTTAGAATGACCATTTTCTATGAGACAAAAAATTAACAAATGTGAAGAGATAAAACGTGACACACTGCAAGGTTAACTTACATGGGAAGGGTTAGATTGTACATCTCAAGATCTCCCTGAGTGTGCTGGGCATACTTGTACCCACAATGTGGAGCTGCATGAGGCTGGGGTTAGGCAATGTGTTGACACACTTTGGGGAGTGCTTGTTTCTCTATGGATCCCTCTAGTCCTCCTTTTATCTCTTTTACTCATGAAAAGAAAGAAATTTGAAGTGTCCTGTGTTTTCTGGGGGGAGTGGTTGCCATAATGCACATGTGCTCACCAAAGAGACAGAAATGGAGAGAGGGAAAGTGAGAAACCACCCCATGGGTGGGCTAGCCTTACCACCACCCCTTCTCCTCCATTCTCCTCTAAGGACTTTTTGTGCGCACACATGCACACTCTCACACACATGTGGTCAATCTGATTAATAAGTTGCTGAGTCCAAACTTCAAGCCATAAGTGGGTCATTCAGGAGTCCAGTGCCTTAACCACAACACCATCTGGTATCCATTTTGAAACAATTTTTAAAAATAATTCTGAGCTACTGGGTTCTGTGTCCAACATGGTCAACTGCATGACTGGATGGCTGCTTCATAAAATGCTATACACATGTGTGCATGTGTACTGAAATAGTACAGAGAGAATGATGGAGAAGGGATTGTGGCTTGCCCATATCTTTAATGGGTACTTTCTTATTCTCTCTCTCTCTCTGACTCTCTCCAGTAACAAGTGCACGTGCCCTGTAGTAAAAATTTAAAACAAAACAACCTAACTATATTTTGAGTCAATAGTTTGGAAAAGTACCTGCTATCAAAGACTACCCAGGAAGTCCCTTCAGCATAACCACTGTTCCTCTTGCTGTGGCTGTGGAGGAGTGAGACTGTGCCCCAGATCAGCAAAGGCCTGGGAGGCCAGGGAGGCAGGGAAAGATTTCCTGAGTCATGATCCTGCAAGTTTTCCCATCATTGGGTGGATCTCAGAAGTATCTAAGTCTTCTTCTAGAGGCTGGAACATCCTTAGACAGAAAAATAAGCCCTGGGAGGCATCTCTGGGCTGACCTGGTCTCTTGGATTTAGACATGGCTGTTGAAATATTTCCTTTGTGTCTTCTTCATTTATTTTCTTTTTCTTTCTCTTTTTCTTTATTTCTCCTTTCTTTACTCTTTTTTAAAAATTGTCATTTGGCTTTTACTTATTTTAAGTCTTATATTTTGCAAATCTATGCTGATAGCATATCCCTTTTAGTTTAATCCTTCTAATAAGTTGGCAAAAGCACCAGTACCAATAACACAAATACTGAAATTCTAGTTTTTATGTGATTTTGAACAGTTATCTGAAGATAATTATGAAATATAACTTAATCTGACTTAGATAATGAAGAATTCAAGAGCCAGCATGTGGCATGGTAGTTAAGGCACTGAACTCCCACATGACTAACA